CATGAACTGAAGCTACTTTTTGTGCAGGATCAGCTCTGAAGATGCAGCTGTGACCAGCATTAGGGTTCATATTAAAACTGGTATTTCATGCATATGATGTCTGCCTATCATCAACACCATGGACCAAAAACTGGCCAGAACTTTCCAGTACGATAAAAAAGAGGGCTACAGAATTACACTTACCACAGGCTTATTCACTGGGACTGGTATCAAATAAATTATTAAAAATTTTGTAGCCATAATTTATTACCACATACAGAGTGCAGAAATCAAATTGAAAAATGTATTACTGTTTCACCTGAAGTGACTGGCTCTGTGCAGTTTGATACCTGTAGTGTGTTTAGCTTTGCAACAGTATTTTTCTGTAACACGTAAATGAATATCAAGGCTAATGAGGTATGCACAATCACAAATGACACATCAGAAAATATGTCTTCTGAATTTTCTGTTCAGATATTAAAATGAAGTATTAGAAAGATGAAGATTTCAGCTTTGATTTTTGCTTTCTTGTGTACCCTATATATGAGAAAGTATTGTGGTCATGAAAAAATGTATCTCGATATTTTGTTGGCTTTACATGTTTTAAGTCTCATAATTATGAAGAAATGGTTTTGATATGCCATCTGTCTGTGCTTATAGATGGATGTGAGCCTTGCTAACACCTGAATGGTTAGATGGATTTTATTCATATTTTTCAAGAGTTCATCTGTTCTGGGTCAGTGACAGTGGATCATGAACATTTCAGCTCCAAAAATATGCGTCCTTCAGATTGGCAGTAGAACACAAATTGGCGATTTTCTTCATTTACTCATAATAGTCAGTATACAAAGTGTGCAAACAGTAGTAAGCAGTTAGTGAAAATTCAGATTGACAGTCAGCTAGTAGACATGTTAATTATATACAGGGTGTCCCAGGAGGAATGGACCAAACTTCGGGAGGGTGTTCCTTATGTTAAAGTATGCCGATATAACCCAAAACACCTATGTCCAAAGTTGAACGGTTACGGAGATAATGGCCCGAGAAAAGTGTGGTCTTCTTGCAGGTCCACGCACTATACGTACCTGTCAGCTGAGACCCTTATCTGTTTGTCCTTGAGTGCCGCGAGTCACACTAGCGTAAGCTCATGCGCTGCCTACAGATTACGTTGCTGTGGGGTCGTGAATGGGTGGTAAATTAGTTGTGTGATGAGTTGCTGAAATGCCTTTTGTGTTTTCACACGTCGAGTATTGTGATATGCATTTTGTGTATGGATTTTGCGGTGGCAATGCACGTGCTGCTGTTGAAGAGTACCAAAGGCGTTTTCCCGATCGAAGGATTCCATCTCGAAGTGTATTTACGCGAATTCACCAGACATTGCGTGAGACTGGTTCT